GTATTAACTGAAATAAATCATGTGTAATACTGGTGCTAACAGGAAAAGGTAGTTTCTTATATTTGGAAAGATGTCCTAGTCACTAATGCCATAAGTCTACTTGTTGTGGATGAAAATTGAAGGAACTAGCTGCTTGAGGTTGTGATGGAGATGGTTGGTCTTTCTCTGGTTTGGAAAAGGTGAGCTGGCAGAGGCCTCTATTCTCTTTTGATAAACCCATCATCTTCATGCTTAGCAGGTCCTGAATTTGGCAGAATTCAGATTGGAAATGTAAGGCTAAAGGGTGATCACGAGTAAGCTTACTAACTGACACAAGGTTAAAGGAGAAGCCCTGAGGGTAATTTGACAGTTCCTACATGTGTTACTATAACTTTTGTAGTATTAGGTAGATAAACAAACATGATGTGAACTGCTCTATGTTCAATGAAGAGTGATAAAGAACATGAGATATGGTCTGAGGCTCATGTGTCAAGAATCCAGAAGGTAATGGGATCTAGGTTACTATGTTCTGTATGAGAGGAGAGGACAAATTTACTTGAGTGGTTAGGGAAAGGAGGCAGTTATTGGGAAACACAATAGGCATGAGGTGATATGTTGGTGATTGAGGAGGTGAGGGGCTGAAGCTAGCACCAGCTTGCATCATTAACTTTAGTCTGTTCATTTCTTCAGGAGTGAAAGCTGCTATTGCTTTTGCTTGACTTACAGGATTTCCATCTGGATTATCACTGTTGTAGCTTACCTCAGTAGATGAATCCCCTGAATTTGCTTGAGAGACCGATCTGCAAACCTTGGAGTATTGGTTTGAGATCCTCCAGAACTACTATTGTTATCAGCTTGTTTCTTTCTCCTTGCTCTCCAACATTCATCAACAGCATGACCAGGTCTTTTGCAGTAGACACAATGCTTTCTTCCTTGACCTCTGTACCCTAATTCCTGAGGTGTTGTTCTTGCTACCAAAGCCACACTTTGAGTTTTCTTTCTAGTGTTTCCCTTCTCGGCTTTCAACTTCTGTTCATACTGCAGCAGGTCATCAACTGCTTCTAAGACAGTTGGTAGAGGCTTTTGTGAGAGCAGTTGAGTCTTGATTATCTCAAAGTCAGGATTCAAACCTCTTAAAAATCAAATCAAATCAAATAATCTGCTTCATGCCTTTCCTTGTAGGCTACCACTGCATCACAAGGATTTGGGTTTCCTGGAGCATAATTGCAAGGTATAATAGGGCTAAATTGCAAGTACTCCTCCCATAATCCTTTAATTTTTGTGTAATACTGATTTATGGTTTGAGCACCCTGCTTGCACTTGTGAATATCATCCTCCAGATTTATGATCCTGATGGCATTTGGTTTGGCATATCTCCTCTTCAGTTCCTCCCACAGAACTCTATCATTCACATGACTCATTACAGATCTCCTTAGATCCTTGTTCTGAGAGTTAAGGATCTATGACAATACAACAGTGTTACAACCATCCCACAACAAGTAATTTGCATATGTTTTAGCAGGCATAGGAATGGAACCATCTATAAAACCCAATTTGTGCTTCATCTTTAGACTCATTATCACATAACGACTCCACATAGTGTAGTTACTACCATCGGAGACAGATCCTATGGATTGATTCAGTGTTTCGTTAGGGTTCAGGTAGTAAGGATTACCGAAGGTTATGACATCGTTTCTGGCTCCAGCTCCAGCAATGAGTTGTTGTTGTTGCTACTCATCAAACGATCCAAATTGGAAAGCGCGAGTACTAGTCCCATTCCCCGCTTGGGTTCCTCGAGTTGCTTGAGATCCAGCTCCCGATGAGGAATTTGGAAGACCTTGAGAACCCGGCGGCGGCGTGTTCATGGTTACTCTAGTTGCTTGACTGCTCTGATACCATAACAAAGTTAGGTTTGGAGAATTGGCAAGCCCTCAAAGTGAAGGGTTGCCCTGCATTCACAATATATAGCTCAGTGTTCTGTTAATCAAAAACACTCCAACATTAGCCACGTGGTAGAATGTCATTGGCAATTACAAACCCAAATTACTGTTTAACAACGACTCTAAGCCAAGATAAACACGACAGCGTTTGATTAAAATGAAGAGCAACATAAATGAAACTTTGCTGAGAAACGTTTCTCCTTCTTCTCCTTCTTATCCTTCGATAGAATCCAAACATCATCAGGACTTCTTCTTCCTGCATCTGCAACTCATCTTCTTCACTTGGTTGACATGGTTAACGGAGTCTCTGGTTTGGTACTCAATCCCCAGGTCTGTCATGGTCGGTGAACGAGAAATAACTGAAAGACGCCTTCTCTTCATTCGGCGAGGTGACAGAAAGTAATTTCTGGCGATACCCATTTGATCAAGTACGTATTTTTCCGTGTTAATCACATGTAGCTTTGTATGCTTCTTTGTAACTCATCCAACTGTTCGACAAATTGCCTCAATGAGCCTACTTCTGGCTGGGTGGTCTAGCTGGGTTATTGTGTTTAGAGGCGCCTGTCCAATTTCCTCTATACTCATGGATCATCTGTCATGATTGTCAGTGAGGATTGCATATGAAAGAGATAGCGGAAGGTCAAGAGGGTTTGGGTTCGTGAGTTCCACTTAAGAAATGAGGCCGCTAGTGCCAAGGACGCCATGGATGGGAAGGTGAGGAAAACGAAACATTCGTCCTTTCCTTATTATCTTCTATAGATGTTTTACTGCTCTCTTCTTCCAATTTGTTCATTACCCTATTTAGTGAGAAAATTTTTCTTGGGGGTTAATTGCATGGTAGGTCACTGAGATTATAAATAACATTTAAGTTTGGTCACTCGAAATATTTAAATCCATTGGTGGTACTTCATTTTACTGAAACCGTTCATGTTTGGTCACTCTCTGTCCAACTCCGTTAACTTTTGCTTATGTGGCAGTCAACTCTAAAAGTTGACCGTCAAATTGTGTGACGTGACAATTAAAAAATTATTAAAAAATAAAATTTAATCTTTGTATAATTTCCAGCCATCGTGTTGGGACCCATGCGGGGACACGGAATCCCTGTCAATCGATCAATAGAGTCAGCATTCTGTTTCCGACGCTCAAATTAATTCCATCAGAATTTCGTGTTCTCCTGCGCCTACTTCCTCCATCAAATTGCTGGTATATTTCTTTTTCTTTTCCTCCTCCTTTCCCTCTCTCTGTTCCTGCCACGTATTCCTCTTTCCCTTTACAGTCTTCCTTTCGTTTCCTCGTGTCCACTTCCCCAAAACCGGAGACTTTTTCTTCTCCCTTGATGAACCCAAATCGCAGAAAGCTTTACTGATTGAATCTCGAAGAATAACGAGGGTGAAAAACACTCTCCCGGTTCCTCCCTCTGTTCTGCGGTGTTTGATTATCTTGATGGATCTGATCAGTCTGGCAGTTTGAATCGAATCCCTGGCCACTCTTTATTGCTGCTCCTTCCTTAGGGTGTATGAAATGTTGATTTTTCTTTTTCAAACTGAGAATAGATTCGAAGATTATCGCTCAATTGTTCATTCTTTTCTTCGTGATCTATGAGCAGTGAAAAAACCCTTTCGCTCCAATTGGGTGCTAACAGATGGCACTGGTGACAACCGTCGAGGTCTACGACGCAAACCCACACGTAATCGTCAGCAGCGAGCTCAAAGCATTACAACCCGTCTGCCAGGTGTTCAGCGGGCCGGCAGTGACGTTCAAGGTGTTCGAGGACAACGTCCTGATCCGCGAGTTCCTCGAGGAGAAAGGCAACGGCAGGGTCCTCGTCGTCGACGGCGGCGGCAGCCTGAGGTGCGCCATACTCAGGCGGCAATTATACAAAGATTATTTTTTATTTTTCAATAATTTTTTAATTGTCACGTCACACGGTCAACTCTAAGAGTTGACCGCCACGTAAACAAAAGTTAACGGAGTTGGACGAAGAGTGACCAAACATGAACGGTTTCAGTAAATTGAAGTACCACCAATGGATTTAAATATTTCGAGTGACCAAACTTGAACGTTGTTTGTAATCTCAGTGACCAACCATGCAATTAACCCTTTTCTTGGGTCTTGACAGAGTTCGTGATGGACCAGTTGTCGTCCCTCGTCTATCTACTAATGTAACACCACATTATACTCCTTCACGATGCTTTGGGGGGGGGGGGGGGGGGGGGGGGGGTTGAAAAACTTGCGCCAGTTCAGGTTGATTGTTATCTAACAGTTCTTATGAGATCATGTATTAAGTAACCTGATCGCAGTTCGCAACATAGACCCTCATTTGATTGCTTAGACCATCAACAACCATGAAATAGCATAACTATTTCATTTGTGGCCTCTACAGCCACATGTACACCTTTTACAATTTCATTTCTTCACTTCTATTTTTTCAACATCCATGAAATCTACTTTCAATTGCATATGGTATGCCCTATTCACATTTATAATACAACAAATAATTTGTATACTCTCTAACCAATTGAAGTGGGCCCACTTTGCCTCTTCCATATTGAATTTCATCTAATGAAATCTTTCAAAGATGAAATAACAAGCTACAACCATGAAATTGGTAATGGAATTGCCATGTCACAATGAAATGGGGAAAAGACACCCATTGTGGATGCTCTTATGCCCTATTTCCATCATAGAACGTTGAGTCTGTGACGCACCTTCAGAAACATGGGAGCGAGCCAACCCAAACAGTGTGGTTCTGGTTCCCATCTCAGATCTGAGTGCCACAGACGGAAAGTATCAGTATCATCACTTCATGAAGCCGTCATGGTGGAATGAAAAGTTCGCCAAAGATACCACCTTCTTACTTGATTTAGCAAGATATATGTTAAAATTCTAAAGCACATGGTTGAGTTCAACAACCAATCCTCGAGACTGAACTCAAGAACAATAGTCACCTTACCACAAAAAGATGCATCACATAATCAAATTTACGAACACAAGCACAGACTAACATCTCCAGGATAATAACAAGGCTGCTTATGATCCAAGGTGAAAACTAGGGATCAAAATAGATCATCGGCAAAGAGACATAAAAAGCAACATTCATTCATCCGTCCGGCAGAACAAGAATCCCCATGGTCTCCAAATACCGACTGACATTGCATTACATTGTTCTACTGTCGGCTATCAAAACCATATAACTAAAACTATTCTTCATTAGAACAACATTTTCAAAATTTAAAGAGCAAAACACAGACAAAACCGCACCAGGCTCATCCAACTGTTCACTTCTTCTTCTCGCCTGCTCCTCCAGACCTATAAACAAAATAGAAGATAACTGAAATCAATATCCACCTTTCCAGTTTGAAAGCCACTGTCAACAGTCCCTAGGTAAATACAATTACTAGCCATGACTCGACATCAATACAGATAGAATTAGAGTAGAAGAACAACTGACCAAACTTCAGAACTTATGACAATCAATAATACAAATTCTAATGCCTGATAAAATCTAAGAGCTAGCTATAAACAAAAAAGGTGAGTACAATAGAATATATGCTACATTCCAGTCCTTAAACAAGAACCATAAACTAACTAGTTTTGCTCTTATGACAATCAATATATACCGCAATGCCAAAAACAAAAACAGGGTATTAGTTCATCAAGTTAATTTTTTTTTTATGAAAGGAATGGCAGCAAAGGATGGTCATTCTTCTCTTCAACCAAAACCCTAACTAGCTAGCTAAAAACCTACACAAACGATAGGACAGAAAAATCAGACCCAGGGACAATTAGCCAAAAGACGTAATAGGGCTAACCTCATCTTGCGGAGTGCGGTGGACATCTCCTCTCTCTTCTTCTTGGCCCTCTTGTGGGTTCCGAGCTTTCTCTTGGCCAGCTTCAACGCTCTCTTGTCCTTGCCGACCTTCAAAAGTTCAGTGATCCTCTTCTCGTAAGGAGCAAATCCAGCGACCTCCCTGATAAGGTTCCTCACCAAATGAACCCTCTTGCTGGTTTTCTATTTCCAAACATAATCGAACAATGCAGAAAGACGAAAAATCATCAGGATCCATTGGAATATGGAAAACTGCACAGCGATGGAAATCCAGAACTGAAACACACAGATATGTAGGAGAATAAAGGGCTACGTACCCCTTTTCTGTCGGATGGACGGGGCGGCAAATCGCGTTTGGTAACGATGTGGCCCTTGTTCAGACCGACGGCCAATCCACTCTTCGCAGCGGGAGCCATTTCCTACCGGAGAAAGAAAATAACACAGCCTGCAGAGTCAGGATCCGGAGAACAAACTGAACGATCAAGCGACAGGGGAGGAGGATTAGGGTTTTACCTTCAATCTTCTTCTTGCGGCTGCCGAAGGAAGGAAAACAATGAAGTCTCTGCTTTGCCAAACCCTAGTCTGATTTTATACTACAGGGTGGGCAAAGATGGAGACCCGGAGGGAGAAGGGCCGCGTTTTGGGCCATGGGTTCGGGCTAGCATCTGTTTGAGCCGGCCTGCTGCCTGTAAACAAGTCGGTTAACAGGCCCCTTTCTGTTCAGGCTCAAACAAACAATTCTTGGCCTTGGACTTTGATGAAGGTAGCAAATTGAATAATGGTACATACAGATTTTTAAAACGTAAACTACTAACTTATATTATGGCCGTTGTCGAGAAAGTTTTTGCCAAGTAAAACAAAGAAAGTTTTACAATTTTCCATGTCATTTATGATTATAACATTTTAAGTTATTAATTATATTAAAATAAAATTAAATAAACATGTATATCAATAATCATGATCTAGATTTGAACCTATGACCCATGAGATCAAACTATCATCATTTCAAGTGTTCAACCACTAGGATAAAGTATACTTGATACTATTAATCACAACAAAACATATATATCAATCACTAAAACTAATATTTAATCATGCAACCTAAGAGCTCAAACTGTGATAATTTAAATTAGTTAACCAATATAATAAAATCGATTTGAAGCAAGTAATCACAAGATTAACACTCATGTTATAAAAAAATGTATAACACATAACATTCTATTTTTATTTAATGGTTGACTTTTGTATATTACACAACAAAAACTATCACGGTTAAAATTTTGTATTCTATTTTTCAACAATGATAGAAACCATTAACCACTAGAAATAACCAATTTTAATTTTTAGTTTATGATATGTTTGATAATTTTTTAAAATAATTAAAAAATCCAAAAAACATGATTTAGTTGGTACACATTTATTAATTCTTTCATAATTTGAAATGTGATTTTCTTACTACTCCAATTGCTTAAATTTATGAACTATTTCTATTTTTTTTTCTATTTTCATTTTAACGTGATTATATTTTCTTCCATGAGCAATTATAAAATACATTGTCTTACAATTTCTGAAGTGAGAGAGTAGTGAGAGAAAATCCTCTCAATTTCTGGGCGAGTCACGGTTCCGACTAGGGCCTGCCTGGTCGTGCCAGCATCTACGCCGGCGCGAATTCTTTTCTTCCGGACCGATGGCAGCTGAATAGAGTGTTTTGGGTACTGAGGGGATCCCTGTTAAGCCTTGGACGAAGCTCTTTGGCATCGCCGAGGCGAATCGTCTTGCGTATATCCCGCCGGAGGTTTTCAAGGGAGGGATTCGCATGCCGAAGATTGTTTGTGATGAGGGAGCGGCCCGATGGAAACACAGTCTGGTCGGTCAGTTCCTCCATCCCTCTCCGCCTCCTCTTCCGGAACTCCGACAATGGGCGAACAAATTATGGGGGCGAGACGGTATAGTTCGCATTTGTTTGCTTGGCAATCAATTGATTCTTGTTCAGCTCCCAACCCAGGAAACATGCGATTGGATTCTGGAGAGTGGGCCATGGTTCTATTCAGATAATATGCTACACCTTCGACCATGGACCCCAGGGATTGATGTTGAAGATTTGGGGACTAAGGCTCTGCCTATCTGGGTTAGGTTCACAAATGTGCCGTTGGAGTATGTAAATTTTCAAGGTCTGAGTCGAATGGGAAGTTGGCTATGGATCCCGCTGGGTGTCAATCACACTACGAGGATGGGTGGTCGTCTTGGTTGTGCAAAGGCTCTTGTGGAGTTGAAGGCTTCGGGTGAATTTCCCGATCATGTTCTTATATGGACAACTGAGGATCGTTCAATTAGGGTGGGTGTGGCTTATAGCCATCTCCCTCCTATCTGTGGGCACTGCCAGTCTTTTGGTCTCAACTGTGGGTGTGGAAAGCATGACCGCACTCTGAAAGATAAGGGGATCCAAGATAACAGGGAAGTGGAGCGTATTTGGGTAAGGAAGAAGGCTGGGGGCAGTGAAACTAAGCACAATCCTAACCAGAACAGTGGTAGTCCAGTCACGATGGATAAGGGGAACAGTGGTAGTCCAGTCACGGTGGATAAGGGGAAGAGTGTGGTATCTGATGGTTCTATGCATCGCTCTAGTCTCCTGATTGGATCAAACTGTGTTGGTATTAATCTGGAGCATACTTTCCAGTCAGTCGCGGAGTGCAGTTCGCCAAAACTCCCAACAGAGGATGAGTTTCGAAAGGTGGTAAATGGAGCAAGGCCTAAATGTTGGCCACCTCTTCCGAGCCCCACCAGTGTGTTGCAAACAACTCAATCATTTGCTTCCCTGCAGGGGTAAGGAGATAGGGAGATTACTCAACTGCAAGCAGCTCCTAAGAAAGGTGTCAGAAAGGGTGGGGGTTCTCACTCCCCTCCAGGATGAAGATATTATTCTGGAATGTTAGAGGGTTTAACAAACCCTCTAAGAGAAGGGACTTCTCACAAGTCCTAAGGAAGTACAAGGTGGATGTGGTGGCTATTCTAGAAACTAGGGTAAGGAAAGCAAGATCTGATGAAACTGTAGTTGATTTCTGTGTGGGGTGGAAGAAGTATCTCAATTATTTTGAAAGTGATCTTGGGAGAATTTGGTTATTCTGGGATCCAGATATTGAGCTTAGAGTTCTTGCGCCTAGGAAGAACTATGTGCATTGTGTGGCTCGTGAGTTAAGTGGTGCTAGTTGTTTCATTACGGCTGTTTATGCGTCGAATGATGAGATAGAGAGGAGAGATACCTACAGGGACCTGGCTAGGTTCAAACTATCTTCTGCCCCTTGGATTGTTTGAGGGGACTTTAACTCTGTCTTGTCCCCAGTGGAAACTTCCAATTTGACCATGGTAAATAGCTGTATGTTGGATTTCAAAGGCTGGGTTGATGATATGGAACTTGTTGATCATAGGTCAAATGGACCTTTCTTTACTTGGACGTGAAACACCCTACCCCGGACGGGTACTACTTTTACTAAAATGCCCTTGACGAATAAAATACTCAAATCTTAAATTGCAGCGGGAAAAATTTTCATAAATAAAATACTGAAAACACACTTGTAGTTCCGAGCAAAGCCCTAACACGTGGGCAAATTAAACTCAAATTTTAAATCTCAATCTGATCTCAAAATAATATCCAGTCTGTACTCATAATCATAAATGTAATTAACTAATAAAATATGAAGTTGTTGATGCTGAAAAACTTGACTAAGCATCCTCTGTGACCCTTATACTGCTCTCCTCTAGCTGGCTGCTCTCGAACTCACTGCTCTCTAACTGCTCCTCTAGCTAGCTGCTACCGATCTGGTTCTCGCTCATTCCCTTACTAAGGCCTGGTGAGTGAGTTGGGGTCAGTCCACGCCCTTACGTTTAACCTCTTATTAAAACTTGAGCACTTTACTTAACTGTGTGGAAGTTGTTTTGTACTTCCACTATTGAAAAGCTTAACTCTTAAAACTGTATGGGAGTTACTGTTACTCCACTCTTAAATCTCAAAGCTTGACTTAAATACTTGACTGACACTGGGATCCCTCACTAGCTAGTCCGGTTGCCAACTCATACGTATGAGAAGCCATCAAGGCTTTCCTTAAACTTAAACTTAGTTAGGGAAGTCGTAACGATTCATCCCTCTAACATCTTAAACTTGTCGTGGTGGCTCTTCACCACGATTCTCAAGAGCATAACTGCTGCTCATCTTAAAAGTCTCAAGAGCATAACTGTTGCTCTGTCTCAAAGATCTCAAGAGCATAACTGCTGCTCTATCTGAAAATCTCAAATGGCAACGGACTGGCGCTAGCGACTAAAAACACTTAAAACGACTTCACCTTCTTGAAGGTGAGTACTTCTTCAAAACAACTGGTTCCTTAACTTTAACAATAACTTATCAACTTGAGCTTTAATTTAAATAACAACTCATGCACATTCACACCAAACATAGCTCAAACAAAATCACACATAATCAACCATAAGCACAAACAAACAACGACCATCACTTCATCAAAATACTTAAGGCTTGTAATTCTTTAAAAAAAAAACACGTAAGGCGTAGAATTTACCCCCCTTTACACTCACCTCGAATCCATCGAATCCGACTCTGATTCTGCTATAAAAATTTCCATATTTGATCCCAAAATATTCTCCTTGCTTTCACGATCACATAGGCGCAGACGGTTCCTCGATCGGACGTCAATTAATCGAGTTATGACCAAAATAAATATTCAGTCAGTTTAAAAGTACCAGGTACCAAAACTGTAATTTTCCAGTCAACACAGTTGACCACAACCTCTTTGGAAGAATTGCACATTTAATCCTCTAACTTCTCGAATTGCCAAGAATGGTACCTGAACTATCCGATTGTGTCCCAAACTTTCGAGACTCGTATCTCCCTCATCCGACGTCCGAATTCGATTTCATCGACACGGGGATACTCCTGGGATCGTCAGCTACGCCACCGTACTCCTTTCTTGAATTATGGTTGAGTTCGACCACGACGGGAAGTGTCGCTTGGTCAGAGACTCGGAGCGGCCGGAGCTATCGAGGACTAAGTTCGATTCGACTGAGGCTATCACGCCGAACGAAGCCCGAGGCTCGTACCTCAGGTAAGATTTCACCATGGCGACCGCCGCTTAGTTTTGCTTCCTGCTTCTCTGCTCTGGTCGCGGCAGTTATGGCGGCTGAGGTTTTCCAAGAGTTTTAAAGAATGGCGCCTTTCTCTTGATAACCACGTCAGAGCCAGTAACGAACCCAGCACGAGGCGGAGATGGCGCCCGAGAGCTCCCGCAGAACTAATCGTCTCTATTGCGCGGCTGTTTGTCGAGAAGTAGGGTTGCTTGGCCGCAAAAGCGTTGTAGCCGTGAGTGATAAATACTGACGGTGCACCCGGAAGGAACACACACCGACGAGCAACGCTGACCAGACAAAAGCGACGAGCGGCAGAGTCCGAGCTCTCCGATTGCTTCGCTATTTCTAAGCTCTTTTTTTTTCTCTTCTCAACGAACTCTTTACCCACCGTCACAGAATCCAAGCAACTCACTGACCACGAGCAGTCCTGCAGCTTTTCTCCTTCTCTCGATCCAACAAGCCTAGCGGACTCGAAAACTAACCTTTCCGAATGGTTGGGGAAAATCTCTCTTCGGGGCAACAAAAGCATGGCACCGGGGAGTGCTGCTTTGGGAAGAGGGTTTCTTGGGGGGGTTTGGGTTTTTATGCAATTAGTGAATTGGGACGGGTTCATGAGCGCGGGGGGGGGGGGGGGGGTGATGGAAAATTTCAATGAGGGTCGAGCGCCCTCTTGGCCTGTTTCCTTTTTTTTAATAATAATATTTTATTATTATTCCTAATCCGTGGTTGCAATCCTTAGTACGTAACCGTTAATCCAACCGTTCACGTATTTGGGTCGAACTTGAACCCAAAATTCGGGGTGTTACATTTCCTCCACCCTTATAAAAATTTCGCCCCCGAAATTTGCTTGAAACTCATTGCTCATTCTACAGCATCTTTGTACTCCCTTGCCTCAAGAATTTACTCTAGCTAAATGTACTTCGGTGATGCCCGTTGCTTGTCCAGTGTCCGTTGCTTGTCTCGTATAGTTTACCTCACTTCTTATATTTCCTCTTGACCATAGAAGGGATTCTCACCAAGCTCGTTAGCATCGGCCAGCTTTGGGTGGCTACTTATCCTTTTTAATTCCTCGCTTGGGCATAAGGCGTGACGGGACAACACTTCGAGTCGATTTATTGGTCCAGCCCATTCAGTACTTGTTTTTTTTTAACCTTATATTGAATTCGAGGTGTCACATTTCCCCCTTCCTTAAGAAAAATTTCGACCTCGAAATTTGTTCGTTGTGATGACCTCAAGTCTCACTTGTGATAATCTATTTGCAAAGAATTGTACCTCTTTAACTTGTGTGGCCCTGAGCTATACATCCTTCCCTTCGATATGATGTGATTTTAGAAGACTCGTAGTTCAACCATTTCTCGTAGACAACTTGCCTAGCTAGCTATTAGCTCGATACAACTATGAAATTCTCCACCCATATACGGCTCCGATGTTGTGGTGCTTTACTCAAACCATCTTGTGATCATCGCGGTTTCTCAAGATCCCCCCTTACAATTTCTTAAGCAACATCGTCTAATAATTCACCAGTATCTTGACCTATAATGTTCTCCTTTTCACGATTGTTGATGCACACCTTTGAAATCCATGGCGTAAACGTTCATGGTGAGTGTTCGACTTGCTCGGTAATCCCCAGTTGTCTGATGCCTCTTACCCCCTTCACATTGGTCATTTACTTCGAACGTGTTTAGGGCATCCGCTATCTCCACCATTTGGTACACAAGACGGTAATACCACTTCGAACCCCAAGATTACTTATGACAGCGTGATTTCCTTTTTGTTCGATCGTCAAAACTCTTTTAACGTAAACCTGTCTGTGGTTGACCACATCGGTCACCTAGGTCCTTGTATCTCCTAACTTTGCATCTCTTACTTTCTTCCTTTATGTCTAGCTCGTCTTATCCTTTAACCATAAACTGAATGGTCATCTCCTCGTTACTTCTTGCTAAACACAGAAACCTCATACTACTGCTTTTACTGTCTGATGCATGAAATGCATCCTTTGCATCTTTCTATAGCTTGCTAACAACTTTTTATGACTTCCTTCAAGAGTCATGATTTTCCCTTTGGCTTACTTGTTCACTCCTGGCTCCTAACTCAACACTTCTTTATCGCCTCCTGAATCTGAAACTATCGTACTATCCATTTTGCTACTCTTAGATCCTAGCTGAAATTCCTCGTACGGTTTTCCCGTCCAATAGAGTCTTACCCAAGAGATTGAAACCTTTCACCAACATAGGCGATCTTGGTTTCACTTTGGGGTATTCTAGCAGGTTCCCTAAACTCATATCCCCTCTTACTTCTTTACTCGTGACTCTTATTCTTGATGTTCCTTTCTAAGTTTAGGTGTCCCTTGTTCTCGATGTAATCCTCTGGGCTCCTATATCCTCCTCTCACTTATGTACCTTGGGCCTATAAGGTTTTTCCCTCGACTATTCTTGACGACCTTGATTCCACCTTAAAATCGACTAAAATTTCTTAATCGAGTTCCTATGGATCACTTGTTCCCCGCTGGTATTCAACCTAATGCTTTCTTGTTGTCCGTTTTACTCCTGCTTCTACCCGTCTTAACTATCTTCCTTGACGCATACATCGCCAGGTTGATGCCAACCATTTTTTTTCTATAACTTCCCCTGGTGTTCTTCTTGCTTCTTTACTTTTACTACCACCAAAATACGACTCTTCTGTTGTTGCTTGTACTATATTTGGTCACCAATCTCTGTTGAGTGCCTTCTCGTTGTTATTTTAGGTCACAACTTCCAATTGTGGCTTGCCCTTGGTAACCTTTAACATAACTCATTCCATGTCTCTTTTGTTGATCGATCTTGTACATAAACTTAGTCTCTTAGTTAGGATTCTTAGTGTCTTAACTAAGCGTGTCTGTTTCATCCTTAACTAGTTGTCTCCTCTGGAGCCCTCCTACCATGCCGCGCCCACTCAGAGTGGGGCACCTTGGATAAGGTAACTTAATGATTTCCTCCTCCTTGGAAATGCTTTTCCTCGTCGTACTCCACAATGCATTTTCTTGAACACGAGTCACCTACACATATTCTCAATCCTTCATCGGAACTTCCATGTGTTTCCTCGAATTCTCTGCCGTTCACTAGGACATTTATTGAACATTCCGCGATTTTCTGATTCTCCTTGATCATGGTAATTTGCAGGGTCTCTCAACCCCTTCTCATACCTTGTCCTCTAGCTTGCGCTTGACAGGCATATAGCATGCCTGATCTGACCTCAACCTGTACATCATTTATCTCTTTGCTTGCCTTGTTCCTTCTAACGGCTTGTCATCGGCCTAACCCCTAGGGTCGTGTACCCTCTCCTCTAGTGACGTAGTTTATCTATAAGGGTTCCTTTATCGTCCTATGGAAATGACCCTGCCTCCTCTTCGCCTTGACTTCTTGACGTCCTTCCAGACCCCCTCTAACCTACTTACTTCCTCATTTACTTCATTTATACTACCCCTAGCTTCTCTTGAAGTCTAAGCTTTCCACTGCTCCTTGTCACTATGTTGTAATAGCGTTGACCACTAAAACTAGTTGAGGGACTTCTCGTGGTACCTCTTCGTTTCTTGGCTCGTTGCTTCCTCGCCACTGCTTAGGACCAAAGACCCTAACATCATCCCATTATCATAGCTACTGGCATCTGGTGATTGTTCCTCTTCCTTTGGAGATTCATATTTCTCCCCTTCGTTTGTCTTAGCTTATTATATCATCCACTTGTTTCCTAGTAGTAAAATCCTCGTACTACTCTCTCAACTCCTTCAAAATCCTTGAGGTATTCCCTTTCAATTGGCACCTCTTTGCTGGTGTTTGGAGTTGAAGTCCTCGCACATTTGATTCTACCTCCACAGACCTTTACAACGTTCCTCCTTCCTTCTCTAGGTTGATGATGATGATCTGTCTGCTAACGCCCGAGTAGTTGGTTAACTAATTGAAAAACTACTATCAATCATGTCGATGAGATACTTGATCTCGAGAGCCTTTGAGATTCTGCTTGGGTTGGTCACGCTCTTTTCATCCTTTCTTTCTTACTGGCGATCACCATATGCCTAAATCTCTCATTTGACGTCCCACGACGTGTTAACTAAATCGCGTCCTAGCCTCTTCTTAACCAATCGCACCCCGGGCTACCATCCCTTCGTGTCGTGCTGTCATAGTTATTTACCTTAATATGATTAGAGTATACTGGAGATTCTATAAACTCTTAAAAGAAGATCCTTGACTCGTTTTCCTTTCCTTTAAACCAAAAGCCTTTAAAACTGAGACCGATATTCCAGTATTCCTTGGAGACCAAGGAACAGAGGAAGACCGGCTCTGATACCAAAATGAAACACCCTAACCCGAACGGGTACTACTTTTACTAAAATGCCCTTGACGAATAAAATACTCAAATCTTAAATTGCAGTGCGAAAAATTTTCATAAATAAAATAATGAAAACACACTTGTACTTCCGAGCAAAGCCCTAACACGTGGGCAAATTAAACTCAAATTTTAAATCTCAATCTGATCTCAAAATAATCTCCAGTCTGTACTCATAATCATAAATGGAATTAACTAATAAACTCTGAAGTTGTTGATGCTGAAAAACTTGACTAAGCATCCTCTGTGACGCTTATACTGCTCTCCTCTAGCTGGCTGCTCTCGAACTTTCCCTCTCGAACTCGTTGCTCTCTAACTGCTCCTTTAGCTAGCTGCTACCAATCTGGTTCTCGCTCATTCCCTTACTAAGGCCTGGTGAGTGAGTTGGGGTCAGTCCACGCCCTTACGTTTAACCTCTTATTAAAACTTGAGCACTTAACTTAACTGTGTGGAAGTTGTTTTGTACTTCCACTATTGAAAAGCTTAACTCTTAAAACTGTATGGGAGTTACTGTTACTCCACTCTTAAATCTCAAAGCTTGACTTAAATACTTGACTGACACTGGGATCCCTCACTAGCTAGTCCGGTTGCCAACTCATACGTATGAGAAGCCATCAAGGCTTTCCTTAAACTTAAACTTAGTTAGGGAAGTCGTAACGATTCATCCCCCTAACATCTTAAACTTGTCGTGGTGGCTCTTCACCATGATTCTCAAGACCATAACTGCTGCTCATCTTAAAAGTCTCAAGAGCATAACTGCTGCTCTGTCTCAAAGATCTCAAGTGCATAACTGCTGCTCTATCTGAAAATCTCAAATGGCAACAGACTGGCGCTAGCGATTAAAAACAGTTAAAACGACTTCACCTTCTTGAAGGTGAGTACTTTTTCAAAACAACTGGTTCCTTAACTTTAAAAAATAACTTATCAACTCGAGCTTTAATTTAAATAACAACTCATGCAAATTCACACCAAACATAGCTCAAACAAAATCACACATAATCAACCATAAGCACAAACAAACAACGACCATCACTTCATCAAAATACTTAAGGCTTGTAATTCTTAAAAAAAAAACACGTAAGGCGTAGAATTTACCCCCTTTACACTCACATCGAATCCATCGAATCCGACTCTGATTCTGCTATAAAAATTTCCATATTTGCTCCCAAAATATTCTTCTTGCTTTCACGATCGCAGAGGCGCAGACGGTTCCTCGATCGGACGTCAATTAATCGAGTTATGACCAAAATAAACATTCAGTCAGTTTAAAAGTACCATGTACCAAAATTGTAATTTTCCAGTCTACACAGTTGACTACGACCTCTTTGGAAGAATTACACATTTAATCCTCTAACTTCTCGAATTGCCAAGAATGGTACCTGAACTATCCGATTGCGTTCCAAACTTTCGAGACTCATATCTCCCTCATCCGACGTCCGAATTCGATTTCGTCGACACAGGGATACTCCTGGGATCGTCAGCTACGCCACCGTACCCCTTTCTTGAATTATGGTTGAGTTCGACCACGTCGGGAAGTGTCGCTTGTTCAGAGACTTGAAGCGGCCGGAGGTGTCGAGGACTAAGTTCGATTCGACTGAGGCTATCACGCCGAACGAAGCCCGAGGCTCGTACCTCAGGTAAGATTTCACCATGGCGACCGCCGCTTAGTTTTGATTCCTGCTTCTCTGCTCTGGTCGCGGCAGTTATGGCGGCTGAGGTTTTCCAAGGGTTTTAAAGAATGGCGTCTTTCTCCAGTTAACCACGTCAGAGCCAGTAACGAACCCAGCACGAGGCGGAGATGGTTGCCCGAGAGCTCCCGCAGAACTAATCGTCTCTATCGCGCGGATGTTTGTCGAGAAGTAGGGCTGCTTGGCCGCGAAAGCGCTGTAGCCATGAGTGATAAATGCTGACGGTACAGCCGGAAGGAACACACACCGATGAGTAACACTGACCAGACAAAAGCGATGGGCGGCGGAGTCCGAGCTCTCCGATTGCTTCGCTATCTCTAAGCTCTATTTTTTCTCTGTTCTCAACGAACTCTTTACCCACCATCACAGAATCCAAGCAACTCGCTGACCACGAGAAGTCCTGCAGCTTTTCCCCTTCTCTCGATCCAACAAGCCTAGCGGACTCGAAAACTAACCTTTCTGAATGGTTGGGGAAAATCTCTCTTCGGGGCAACAAAAGCATGGCGGCGGGGAGTGCTGCTTTGGGAATAGGGTTTCTTGGGGGGGGGGGGGTTTATGCAATTAGTGAATTGGGATGGGTTTATGAGTAGGGAGGGTGATGAAAATTTCAATGAGGGCTGAGCGCCCTCTTGGCCCGTTTCCTTTTTTTATGATAATAATAATAGTTATTATTATTATTATTCCTAATCCGCGGTTGCAATCCTTAGTACGTAACCGTTAATCCAACCGTTCACGTATTTGGGTCGAACCTGAACCCAAATTTCGGGGTGTTTCAGGACGAATAGGCAAAAGGATAACCCTATTGCCAGGAAACTCGATCGAGCCCTTGTTATTAATGAGGCTTGGTTTGATGCTTTTCCTAGTTGTGGTATTGATATCTTGGTAGGGACCTTCTCGGACCATTGCCGAGTCTGTGTTGATACACAGCCAGGGCAAAAGATCTCTACCTAAGCCATTCAAGTACTTCGAGCTTTGGGCTGGTCATCCTGACTTCCTCAAAATTGTTGAGGAGGGATGGTCTACCCCTGCTCAAGGGACCCCATTACTGGTTGTAAAGACTAAGCTTAATGCTGTTAAGAAGGGGCTGAAGAGGTTGAATAAGGAGGTGTTTAATGACATAAGTGGGCAGGTGAAAGAAGTAGAAGGTCAATTGCTTGCTGCTCAAGAGTTGGCTCTATCCAATCCATCTGGCGTTGCTTTCATTGAGGTAGACACCCTGAATACGCAGCTTGTGAACCTGAAGAAGGATGAGGAGAGTTTTTACTGGCAAAAGTCTCGGGTAAACTACTTGAAGCTTGGGGACCAAGGTACCAGATTCTTTCACCAATCAGTTAAGATCAAAACTGCTAGGAAGGCTATAAGGAAACTAGTGCTTGAAGGGGGCGAGGAGGTAGTGGAGATGGACAAAATTGCTGATGAGGCGGTGGATTTTAGTAAGCATTTATTCGGATTCATTGATCTAGAGGTAAAACCCTGTAGACAGTACCTGGAAGACCTTGTAACACATAGGCTGAGTGGTGAGCAGAGGGATTTATTGTGCCAAGGCTTCACAGCTGATGATGTGAGGAAGGTTGTGTTCAGCATGAATACTCATCGAGCCCCTGGCCCTGATGGATTCTCGGCTGGTTTTTACAAACGCACATGGGGGGTTATTGGAGAGAATGTTACTTCTGGGATTCTGGAGTTCTTCAATATAGGTAAACTTCCTAGTAGCATTAACTCCACTACTGTGTCTTTAATACCAAAAGTGGCTTCTGCTTGTAAGTTAAAAGAGTTTAGGCCAATTTCCTGTGTGAATATTTTCTACAAAATAATTGCTAAGTTGTTAGCAAACAGGCTGAGGAAGGTTTTAGGTAGTGTGGTCAGTGGAAATCAGCAGCTTTTATTGAAGGGAGGAGAATTGTAGATAATATTTTAATTGCTCAGGAGTTAGTGAGTGGCTATCATAAAAGTACTCTTTCTTCTCGTTGTGCTATTAAAGTAGACCTTATGAAAGCGTTTGATTTTGTTCACTGGGGTTACTTGTTTCTCATGATGGAAGTTATGGGGTTCCCCCATAGGTTTATCTACTGGATCAGGCTCTGTGTTAAAACTGCAAAATTCAGTATCAGTATAAATGATGGACTGTGTGGGTTTTTTGGGGCACAAAGGGGGGTGAGGCAGGGGGATCCCCTCTCACCTTACCTATTTACAATTGCAATGGAGGGATTATCTCTTCTCTTGAATTGAGCTGCAGCAGCAGGGGACCTGGCTTTCCATCCTCAATGCAAAAAAGTGGGGTTAACCCACTTGTGCTTTGAAGATGATCTTCTCATCTTCACAGAGGGCTCATGCCAGGCTATTCAGAAGGTTCAGGGGATATTGAAGGAGTTCCACACTATTTCTGGCTTAAGTGCAATCCAGGAAAATGTGAGGTGTATTTTGGAGGGAAGTCTGTGTAGTTTAAGCAGAATGCTTTGCAGCTTTCAGGTTATGCAGAGGGAACTTTACCTGTTAGGTATCTTGGTATGCCTCTTATCTCAGGGAAGTTACCTTCTAGTGAGAATGATAAACTAGTGGCCATAATCACAAAGAAGATCCACTCCTGGAGGTCAAAGAAGCTTAGCTATGCTGGAAGGTTGCAACTAGTAACATTAGTGTTGATAGGGACTCTTCAATATTGTATGCAGATCTTCATTCTACCCAAAAAGGTGATTAAACAAGTTCAAATGGTATGTTCAAAGTTTCTCTGGCATGGGGGAGAAGAAGGGCGTGCTAAAGTAAGTTGGGAGAGGATGGCAAGGCCTTGTCTGGAAGGGGGTTTGGGCTTACGTGAGCTAAATGCCTGGAATAAGGCTTGTACAGTTAGATTCATCTGGCTATTCTTAATGCAGAGTGGCGCTATCTGGGTGGCTTGGTTTCAGCAGTATAAGGTTAAGGATCAAAGCATATGGACTGTGCCTGCTAGTCAGAGCAGTTCCTGGGCTTGGAGGCGTATTCTCAAGATGCGCCCTGTGGTTCAGCCTTTACTTTCGATGAGTAATGCTCAGATTCTTTGGGACAATAAACCTATGCATGTGTTTAAGGTCTCTGTGGTTTGGAATACCTTGCGAGTCAAATATGAGGTGGTGGACTGGGCAAAGCTTATTTGGGGGAAGAATTATATTCCCAGAAACAGTTTTTTGGCCTGGATGATCATGTTGAATTGTATAGTCACCAAACAAAAACTGATGCAGTGGGGTAGGTAGACTGATGGTTTGTGTGCGTTGTGTGGTAATGAAGTGGAAACCAGAGAGCATTTATTCTTTACATGTGACTACTCTCGTCGAGTTGTTACATCGTTGCAAATGGGGGTATTCTGTTGTAGCTCCTGGGAAGCTACTGTTGCTACAGGCATTGCCAGTTGCAGGAGGCCGAAGCTGGGAAGAGTGACCAGTCCGATCTGGTGTTTTTGTTGCGCTGGGATTTGGAAGGAAAGATGCAGGCGTGTCTATGGTGATGCTAGGAAAACAGTAGAGGAATTAGTCCGTGAATATACCACTGAATTGCAGATTATTTGTAATGATAGTGAAGCCTTATTAGAAGGTTTGTAGGTGCTTGGAATGTTGGGGAGTGTGTAGGGGATTAGTAGTTTGCTGGTAGTTGTTTGTGGTGGAAATGGCTTGGGGTAGAGGCTATTTCCTTTTGCTTTTTAGGGCTGCTCAACTCGAGCTTTCCTTTTCGTTGTATTAGTTGGTCATTTGTGCTTTGCAAATGGTCTCTTTTTTGCAGTTAATAAAAAGAGTAACTTATTCAACGGAAAAAATACATTGTCTTTACTTTTTTCCTGATGTACTTATAATTATTTTCTTTTCTCTTTTTATTGGTTGACATAAGCCCACTTGAGTGTAGATGTGCAACTTTGAGATATGTTTAGATGCATAGCACCTAAATTAAGCAGGATTTTCGAACGAATCTTAAGCTATTGGATATATATATATATGATGTCAATCATCACTTATGTATATATATATGGTGGCGTCTTCGGTGCACTCACTTTTTTTAGTGCGTTAAGTGCACTCGCTTCATAACCAACATTTTAAACATGCGATTTGTGTAAAAATGATGTCAATCATCACTTATGATGTGATGAACAATAACGCACACGAATTTGCACAAAAACCATCGAAGATTTACTTTAATTTGAAGGATTTAGAGTTTAGAGATTTAGGGTTAGGGTTAGGGTTTACAATTTGGGGTTTAGAGATAGAACTCAAAATTAGATGTCTAAGGCTTAGGGTAATCGTCTAATTAGTTGTTATCATACGTTATATCATCATATTACACTGATTCTACAAATTAAATTTCAACATCCGACACCTTAAGACTAGTTTTTGAGTTGGGTGCATTGAACGCACCCATTTTTGTGAGTGCACCGAAGTAGTCACCATATATATATACTTATTGAGATGTAAAGAACTATTTTAATTCTTACTTAATATGACATCCTTATACATATATTACTATTGGTGGCTTACATCGTACCTTGGTGATAATCTAGGACATACCATGAGTAAGAAAAAGCTATTAAAGCTTGAATTAATCGAATTTTTGGGCATGATACTATACTCTAACCCTTGATGAGTGAACCCTAGGTCTTAGATACCTAAATCATATAGCCTAACCCCTAAGATTGTGCACGTAATTTTTTGACAAATCATGACCGTCGGTTTTTGTTTGTAATTAAATTGATCTTAGTGTATAAGATTTATAGAATCAAGACCTAGATTTTAATCTCTCGTGGTTTGGGAATAGTACCTGATGTCAAACTTTGGTCAATTCAAGGTCTAGATATCATTTTCTTACTACTCAAGGTGTGTCATACCTTTGATTTTACCCAAGGTACGATAGAACCACCCATTACTATTACTATTTTTAGTAACAAGTTATACTCTCCGGATAATCCCACTCATAAGATATACCCGATATGTTGTATCTCATTCAGTCAAATAAACATCCATTCGTCACCACATGCCATACACATGCATCATCTCAAACTCAAAGAGTTCATATATTCACAACATAAAGACCATCAAACAGTCTCTTGATAACTCATTGTATAAATATATATTCACCAAGTATCACATCATACTGGCATCACCATGTAACCCTGTCCCAACATAGCAAAACATCACACCATCTAATGGTAAATTATTTTATAAAACACCATAGAAACCATCACATAACCATCATCATCGACACGCACACTTCGTATATCACATCATAGAAAGTTATCACTTAACCACATCATAGTAATCTTTATACAAGGATTCAATCACATGCATGGTTAGGTTGATTCAGTGCCCATTTACTTCTTAATTTGCCAAGTCATACACTCCTCGGATAGTACAGTAGATGTCCTGTATACCACATTGGATTGTACCTATATTGATGTCCTGTAAATCCACTGCGGGATCATACCCTGACTGATATCCTATATAACAGCACGAGACATACCTGGACCGATGTCCTGTAAAACCAACGCGGGATCATACCTTCACTGATGTCCTATAAATTCATCTATTGTACTGATTACACAATAGAGCGCCTTTATATTTGTATTAAGTTATCAAACAGTTCCCTTTACAGTTAGTCACACATTTAATATTGGATGATAATGTGAAGCGAAGCCAAAGTGTCTTTATAACTAACATTTTCTTTTGATATCATTCATTAAATGTTGAAGGTAATATAGAAGCATAGCAGCATAGTCTGGTTGTACGTTAATATAATGGTGGAAAAGGCTAGCGAACACTCGAGGTGTAATATACACCTTCATTCACATCTATTAGTTGTACTTTAATATATTTTGTCAAATAAGAATCGTTGGTTATTATTTTTGCATTATATGAATTGTAAGATTTGAATTAGAGACTGAAGTTCACCCATTAGAGACTATGATATAGTATCATGTCCAAATTCCGTTAATACATTATCTAAATAGCAAAACTCGATAGGAGTACGGTAAGGTGGCGTACGCTAGCTTAATCCACGTACAACTTATGAAGTTGAAAATGATTGGTGAATCAAAGATAAGATGGTCATGAATACTATTTTCCAAGCGGTGATGAAGTTATAACGTTGTTTGACATTATTGTTGATCATACTTAAAACCTGGATCATATTAGATGAAACACGGATAAAAGATAAAAATAATAAATAAATATGAAAAGTAGGAATCCGATACCATTGGAAGAAATTACAGATAAAAGAAGAAAAAGTACACACAAATGAAACTCGTCGCCCGATGGGCGGGCACAAAACTAATGTTAGTAAGTTCACAAGGCTAATCGCAACATCAAATATGCTTTGTTGGCATAAAAATTGATGTCTCCGGCCGCTTCGTTGAGGTGGCATAAATAAAACGTTGACCATGCTAGATATATAGGCCATTTGTATGATTGAATCGCTTGTTTTTTGGCATCTTGAATCTTTATCAAAACAGGAAATTTATAGTTAAATCATGTTATATGAACTTAAGGACTTATGATGTATCAAATGTCATCGTTGCACTTAATTCTTTCATTATATTCAAGAAAAGGAGGTTTGATCCTTTGGCATCTTGAATCTTATACAAAACAGAAAATTTATAGTTAAATCATGTTATATGAACTTAAAGACTTATAATATATTAAATGTCATCTTTGCACTTAATTCTTTTATTATATTCAAGAAAATTGGATGTCAATGAAAGCAAAAGAAGGTATGATCCAAAAGAATATAGTTCATATTTTTTACATCAAGGAATAGTGGCTGAGCTTATTTCTCTGACAACGCATACTCGGGATGTTGATCGATTGCGCCATCTCTTTGAGGAAGAAACTGTGGCTGTGATCAGAGCTATTCATTTGCCTACTTTGGCGGTGCCTAATCGATTGATATGGCATCATGACCAGTCTGGGGTTTACTCGATTAAGTCGGCTTACCACCTAGCTGCTCAGCTGCGTTTGACTAAGGAAATGACCTCTAAATGTGAAGCTCGTGTTTGGGATAACATCCTTTGGACTACAGTTGGGGGTGGGGGGGGGGGGCAAAGGTGCCTGTGCCTCCAAAGTTTCGAGCGTTTTTGTGGCAGATTTTGCATCATATCTTACCTACGGGGAAGCGTTGTCTACTTGAGGGGTACAGGGGTGGCTCTATGATCGATTTGTCTTGGTGAGGAGGAGACATTGGAGCACCTATTCTTTGAGTGCAGACTGGCGCGGGGACTGTGGGAGGCTTCGGGCCTTCTCCCTTTTCAAGGGTCTTTTCATGTGGGGTGTACGGAATTGTTCTGGTGGAGATTCTTTGAGCGCGGGGATGTCACTAGTTCGGATCTGCTAGGACTTATGGCTCTTTTCTGGCGAATTTGGAAAGCTCAAATCTGGATTGTATTTGACTCCACCCTTTAATCTACCCTGGTTTTGTTATCTCAGCCAATGTTATCAAACCCGGGTCGGACCGGTCAGTCAGACCAAGTCCGACCCCATAAGGCTTAAAATGAGAAGACAGCTTATCGATCAAATTGTGATTGGTTAAGTCGGTTAACCGGCAAACTCGGTAAAACCAAACCAACAATTTTGAGCTTCATTCATTTTCAATTTTAAACTTTTCAGATCCAAATAAAAAATATCAAGTGTGCCTGCATTTGAATCCGTTATTTTTATAATTAAAGTTCAAGAACCCTCTACCCATACTTATTGCAGTTCCAACTTCCAATAATTATTTGGGAATCTGCCTTAGCTTTTATTTCTTGGAGAGTGGATATAAGAAGGCCTATTTCCATCGCCGGTCAAACTCCAACCTTGACAAATTATATAGCATCGGTTTTATGACTGCTTTATAATACTGGTTAATCATCGGTTAGGCGATAAACCTTCAACCTCTCACTAATCTGGATCGATGTCTGATCTGGTTTTGACAACATTGGTCTCAGCTCACCTCTCAAGTGTCGAAATGGGAGACTATACCGCAGGTACAACCTGTTGTTACCCCTTTGGCTGTGCATAGAGGATTAGGGGTAATAAAATGGTTGGCGGTTTTCAGTTGACTGTCTAACCGAACCAAAAAATGCTTTTAGTCGGCTAACCGATAACCGCCATTTATTTTCGGTTGGCGGTCTCGGTTGGAGGAAATGGCCATATTCGAAAACCGAGCGGTTGTTGGCTATAACCAAAACCGTTGGCGGTGCACCACCTAACCGCGCTGACCCAAAATGTAAATCGTCTCCTCCTCACTCCAGCATTCCCCAGAATCCCCCTAGTACCCATCTCTCTCCCATGCGTCCACTTCTCTCCTTCCCATCCATCATTCCACTCTCTCCCCACAAAACAATTGTTTTCCCTTCCTCTCTCTCTCTCAAATAGAAGATCTAGAGATCCGCTCTCTTCCTCTTCCTTCAAATATATCCTTGAGATCATCACCATCTCTTCCTACGATTGGGAAGCAAAGATAGAGCAGGAAAGGAGAACGGGCGTTGGGCAGCATGCAATTTCCCAGTCGCCTAATCGTCCTCCTCCCTCTGCGTCAGCCGTCGCCCAGTTGTCCGTCGTCCTCAGCCTTTTCCTTTGTTGTCGTTCGTCATCCTGGATCTCCAATCTTCCTATATGTGCCTCCGAAGATGGATTCATATCCAGATCCTCCTCTCACGCTCTCTCCCCTTCCTCCCTCATCTACCTTGATTCGCGGCGGACTCGGATCCGGATTCGCGGTGGACTCAGATCCGATTTTCGGTGACATGCATATCGATGTGGTGGTCGGAGTTGGTGTGTGTCGGTCTTAGAGCAACCGCCGCTTGAAACCGAAACCGACGGTTGCAGTTATCGGCTAACCGATAGTGTGTCGGTCTCGGTTGTGGTTGGCGGTCGTGTGATCAATTCGGTGGCGGTTAACCGTGTAACATCCCATTTCGGCTAAAATCGTATTTCGATCGCTAGAAAGTTCGCGATTTAAAATCGATCATTTCGACACTATTTCGACGAAAATCGGATTATCGATCGATCGGATAAGTATACGTATTATATATATATATATAACAAAAATGAGTGAGCGGTCGGATATATATATCCCCATCCCACCATCATTTTCATTTGCCAAGTTTCCTCTCGATACAGAAACCACAGGGACGCGCACAGGGTAGTTTAGAAGAAAATTTCAGAGCTCAAATCTTGAGTTCTACTAATCCAAAAATCCCGTAAGTAATGCCTAATTCATCCATACATCGTGATTTCTCGATTTAGAGCTTTAAAACGAGTTTTTGATTCAGGAATTTCTTGAATTCCCGATAAGCCAAATTAGGGTTTCGGAGTATCCGGAAGCCGGATTGAGCCCAAATTTCATATACGAGCTTCCTGCAGCGAGGTAATCAATCCTCTAGTTCTAATCCCTGAATTTCGGCAATTATTTAGGTCGGGGTCCAAACCGCTGAATTTAGCTCCGGCCAGGGTTTGATGTGTTTTTATCGAGAATTTGACCCGGAGCCTAGAACTAATATTGACGGGGATACTGCAGGGGATATTAGGACGGTCTCGGATTTTAATTCGGGGTTTGTTCGTGAAATTGATGTTTTAGTACGGGAAGCTTAAACCAGTGTTTGAACGACCAGAACTGGTGAGGGATTAGCACGGCATACCGGGTTTGTCGTATCACGATAATTATATTGATCCTTAGAATTGACCTAGGTTAACTAGAATGGCATGATTAAGGGTGTATGAACTTTTGTGCTATATGATGAACCATGGACTACTGTATGATATTATTGACTTGCCCTAATCGATATGAACCTTGTTTATGCTGATGATTGTGTATATGTTGCAAATTGTGGGCTGGACTGTTAATATGCTTTACGATGGTTCGAGAAGGTGATTAGGTATGACTTTTCATGATTGTTGTATTTGAATGCACAAGTGGGAAAATATATATTCCCTGGTGATATTATGATGTTTAAGGAGGATGACTTGCACGAGGGTTTATCCCGAGGAAGTGCAATTATACGACTCCTTATTTACCTATGTTGAGCCAATTATGGCCAGGGCAAGTACATGTGTAAGTAATGAATTATGATTAAGCAAGATGAGATATGAATCATGTACAAGGATACCAAATATGAGTGTTGTGGTCTCACGGTCAACTACATAGTAATTAGGGCTCCCTATGCTATTACTCTATTATGATATGTATGATAGTCACACCTCTCATGTGGTGGTGACTGAAGAATTCTTATGAGATATGACCACACCCAGAGCGGTGTCGGGGTATGACTACACCCATAGTGGTGTGGGGTATGTATGACCACATCCGACGAGATGTTGGGGTATGTATGACTACATCCGACGGGATGTGGGGTATGTTTCCCGGGAGAGTTATTAGATAAGTATGTTTCCCGGAAGAAGCTTTCAATTAAGTTTCTTCACTCTCCACTCGATAACATCAACTTCATTCTACACAATTAGAAAGAAAAAATTAGACATGTCTCCACAAACATAAATAAGATAAGTTGTTTAGAATATTAAATATATCGAGAAAATTAATTATATGGGTGTGGGCGGGTACCCATGGGTCGGGTTTACCTAAACCCAAACCCAACCCGATGAATATTGACCCGGCCCAAAACCCGTCAACACGGATTTTACCCGCGTTGACCGAGTTGGGTAGGGTGGGTACCCGTGGGTTCGGATTTTGTTTTCATCCCTAGAGGAAGGTGAGGTATGAAATGTGATAATGTAATGGGGTGTATAACTTATTGTTGTATAGTTTTTTTGGGAAACATGTGATAAAAATAGTGAATTTTAGCAGGAAAGAGACATTAATGATGCAACAAATCAAAAATCGGCCTTATGAACCAAAATCAAGTACCTGTTACCTTGTGAAACAATATTGTTTCTGGTAATATGATGAGGTGGAGTAAGTTTTATAGAAACTGAATTCCAGAAAATCGAATAAAAATCGCCTATCCCGTCGGTTTTCGGGAAATGAGCATCTCACAATCGTTGCTAGCTTTTACTCGGCCCGTTGGCCGATTAATTTGGTTTATAAAACTTTCATCTTGTCGTCATTGTGCTTTCTGGTTTTTTTCAGGCTATGATAAAATCTAAGGAAATAAAGAACGAACAACACGATTTGGGATAGGAACCGTCGTTGTCGTATCCCTAGAAAATGGTGGTAAACACGGACTCACCTGCCAAACTGGTTTGGATTGAGATTTTTATCGGGTATCAGGGAACCATGTGATTATAAATTAGACTTTATCAAAAGGGGCCAAAACTTGAAATGCAGCCTGTTTGACCGACCCATGCCAAATTCTAATTATTCTTTACTTTTAAACTTTTTATTTGAAAATAAAAAATAGTGAAAGAAAAGAGATGACTGCAATTTGCACATCACTTATTCGGGAATAAAACCATAGAAATTCAAAAGGAACTGAAAATGTTAGGATCGTTTTAATGTTTAAAATAACCAAATAGATCTTTCTGTTTAGTTTTTTACTAACAAATACCAAACGATTCCCTATAAAATACACTATGATTTGATCATTATGATATCAAATCATTATATAATATATATTTGAAATGATAAAAATTAGACTAATTGGGTTGGTCGAGGTTGAACCATTGAATAACTTTAAAATACATTATATTTTAGCCACTAAGATATAAAATAATAGCATAATTTATTATGCCAGAGAAAATAGCTTGTTTTAGAATGTCAAGCCAATGATGTTCATTTGTTTTACTTGATGTCCAAATCCCGTGTAGGGCAAACCAATTCAACTCTTTTATTTTATGGTTAGCGGTTAGCCCATTAGATACCATGCATTAGTTTATTGTTAAATTTTTTATTTTTAGCAATAAAAAGAAGTATTGTTTTTGCCTCTTCATATATATTGATAATATTAATATTCATTTTGCTACCGCCGACGCATAGATGTAATTGTACTTCATTGCATTTCACGCTCCAATTTTTTTGACGATTTCATCAATCTTTCTTGGGAGAAACGGAGGGTATCCCGATCGGGGGAGAGAACGGGGAAATCCCATATGACCCAATATATCTGACAAGCCGCACTATACGTCAATCCAAACGGAATCGTCCTCTCCAGGATTTCGAAAAGGTACTTTTGGAACACCAATAGGCATTAAATGAACTAAAAAATTAAGTACTCTATTTTACTTTGATGTGAAAGCGTAACAATGAATTTATTGTCTTAATAATATTTATTATCCTTAAAGGAAGAAAAAATGAATAAAATCCAATTTTGACTAATAGGTCCGTTGAATGATGAACAAATCTGTATGCATTCACTCATGTAAACCGGGGTATTGCGTATTGGTACTTACTTTTGTTCCGGGAGGAATAGCTTCTCATCATATTGCAGCAGGAACATTGGGCATATTGGCTGGCCTATTCCATCTTAGTGTCCGTCCGCCTCAACGTCTATACAAAGGATTACGTATGGGAAATATTGAAACTGTCCTTTCCAGTAGTATTGTTGCTGTCTTTTTTGCAGCTTTTGTTGTTGCTGGAACTATGTGGTATGGTTCAGCAACTACGCCGATTGAACTATTTGGTCCCACTCGTTATCAATGGGATCAAGGATATTTCCAGCAAGAAATATATAGAAGAGTTGGTGCCGGATTAGCTGAAAATCAAAGTTTATCTGAAGCTTGGTCTAAAATTCCTGAAAAATTGGCTTTTTATGATTATATCGGAAATAATCCGGCAAAAGGTGGATTGTTCCGAGCAGGCTCAATGGAAAATGGGGACGGAATAGCAGTTGGGTGGTTAGGACATCCTATCTTTAGAGATAAAGAAGGACAGGAACTTTTTGTACGCCGTATGCCTACTTTTTTTTGAAACATTTCCAGTTGTTTTGGTAGACGGAGACGGAATTGTTAGAGCGGATGTTCCTTTTATCACCACGGAGAAATAAAAGGGCTTAATGAAAAAATTGACACTCTTGAACCCGTTTAAATCTGCATGTGTACGGTAAGTTGGCCCGTTCCACAGAGGAAAGAGGAAAAAATTGACACTCCCTATTCTATCATTCCTACAAACGCTCCTGGAGCAGGAAATTTGAAATGGGGGAAGGGTTTTTTCCTCTCTGCTATTATATCTTTTTAATTTAAAAAGATACAAAAAATGTATTTAGTGTGATTGCACATCACTTATTCGGGAATAAAACAATAGAAATTCAAAAGGAACTGAAAATGTTAGGATCGTTTTAATGTTTAAAATAACCAAATAGATCTTTCTGTTTAGTTTTTTACTAACAAATACCAAACGATTCCCTATAAAATACACTATGATTTGATCATTATGATATCAAATAATTATATAATATATATTTGAAATGATAAAAATTGGACTAATTGGGTTGGTCGAGGTTGAACCATTGAATAACTTTAAAATACATTATATTTTAGCCACTAAGATATAAAATAATAGCATAATATATTATGCCAGAGAAAATAGCTTGTTTTAGAATGTCAAACCAATGATGTTCATTTGTTTTACTTGATGTCCAAATCCCGTGTAGGTCAAACCAATTCAACTCTTTTATTTTATGGTTAGCGGTTAGCCCATTAGATACCATGCATTAGTTTATTGTTAAATTTTTTATTTTTAGCAATAAAAAGAAGTATTGTTTTTGCCTCTTCATATATTTTTTATCACCACAGAGAAATAAAAGGGCTTAATGAAAAAATTGACACTCTTGAACCCGTTTAAATCCGCATGTGTACGGTAAGTTGGCCCGTTCCACAGAGGAAAGAGGAAAAAATTGACACTCCATATTCTATCATTCCTACAAACGCTCCTGGAGCAGGAAATTTGAAATGGGGGAAGGGTTTTTTCCTCTCTGCTATTATATCTTTTTAATTTAAAAAGATACAACAAATGTACTTAGTGTGATTGGTTATGATCCTTATTTTTCCTTAAAATGGTCATGGTTCGAATCCCACTACGTGTCTTTTTAATGAATTAAAAAAAGTAAGTGTGAAGACCAAAATGTCCTTCCTACTTTCACTCTCGTTGCAGGAAATTTGAAATGGGGCTCCCGTTTTTCCCTTCGGTGTATTATATTATGTGTAGATGTGTATATTTATGTGGTTGTGTAAGTTATGACGATTATGGTACGTATAAGTATGGTATGCAGTTGTGGAGTATGAAACTGTGACTATGGCTATGAAAGTCCATGTATATGGTTGTTAGTATATGTTTGTCATTGAATGCATGGATTCAGATAAATTATTTTGCAGGTTTTAGTTGCAAGAACTGTTAGCCCATTACGCGAGTAATTCATGTCGAAATTTTATTTGGGTAAATTTTTGGTAATTAATGTAACACCCGGGATTAATTCCGCTGCAGTTGTATGAACAATATCATTAGGCAAAACGTATAGGGTAGGGTGTTACAGTTTGGTATCAGAGCCCGGTTCCCTCTTTTTGCTGTTATGGCGTACTGAGTTTAAACACTCCTAAGGAGGGGAGTACCCCATAATGACTTAAACTGGGAATTGAGTTTGACATGATTATGTGTATTGGTATATTGGATGAAATTACCTTCATCATGGTTTTCAAAATTGAGTTTTGAACTTATTTGTTTTCAAGTAATTATTTTGGAAATTTTTTTGTTTTAACCAAGTGAGAGATTTGGTGAAGAATGAATTTTGGGTGGATCAATCTAAGGCCAATATTTCCTTGTAGCTCGCACGGAAGTTGTGAAAATGTTCCTACTGACCAGTCGAGAGGAGTGGGGGTGGTTGATGCAAGACCGCCAGTATTAGATTATGCAAAGATGAAGAGTTTGGGTGGTAGGGACTTTAAAGGAGATGTGAGTCCGGATGCTGTGGTAGAGTGGTTGAGGGAGATGGAAGATGTGTTTGAATATCTTTATGCGACCCCAGAGGAAAAAGTACAATATGTTGTTTTTCTCCTAAAGGGGTACGCAAGGAGCTGGTGGTCCTCAGTCTCTAGAGTTAATGGTAAACAAGTTCAGTTCACCTGGGATGAGTTCCTGAAGGCCTTTAAGACAGAGTTTCTTCCCGAAGCTTTTATCAGGCCAAAGAACAATGAATTCGCCAACCTTAAGCAGGAGAATATGACAGTTACTGAGTACACCATCAAGTTTGTTCGACTACTTTACTTTGAGGATGGGTTGGCGGATACTGAGCATAAGAAGAAGATGAGATACTTGCATAGTCTGCGCATAGGATTGAAAGAAAAGATCCACAGGGTTGATGAAGAGAGCATGGCCACAATCAAGGAGGCATCACTTAAGTATGAAGCCTATGAAGTTGAGAGCCGAGAGGAACACAAGGCCAAAGAAGAGGAGAAGAAGAGGAAGTTTGGAGTAAATTATGCTGGACCTCGTTACCCACCCAGGAGAGGTCCTAGCAGTTTTGGGAGAACACTGAGTCAATCTATGTCAGGAACATCATACAGGGCACCAATTTCCTCAGCCACACAATTTCCATTTTGTCAAGTTTGTCAGAAGAGGCATCCTGGA